AAAAAAAAAAAACTTAAAGTTGAATTAATAAAACATTTTTTAATGTTTAATAACTCATTTGGAAACGTTATTTTTAAATTATATGGCTTTAAAAATTGTTCGCTCGTGAGCTAACATAAATATCGCGTACTTTGTCATCTCTATGTTGTACACAACTGTATAATTCCCTAATTTCATGCATGTGTGAGTGTGTATTTTTAATCGGCTTATCCATTTCAAGATCAAGCGCGAGCGATCCGCGCGCATTTAATTGCATCTCATTGCCCGAGACTCAATGGCAAATTTCCCAATTTGAAAGGCGCGTGCATTCTCTTATACGCGGCACCCTCATGCCGAAGACGTTGCCGTCCACGTCGACGTCGACGCCGACGCCGATGCCGATACGGATGATGATGATGACGCTGCTAATGACGATTGCGGCGATGACGGTGACAGTGACGAAGTTGCGACGCCAGCAACGCGAAGACATCGCTGCCAAGCGAGTGCCAACGCATGCGCCTGGGCGCGTTCCAAGGCCGACGAATTGCAGCGTTTCCCGCCAAGCGCTCACGGCTGTGCCTTTTGCTTTTCGAGCTACGAGTTTCTTTTTTTCTCCCCACGCGGACGCCACAGTCGTTGCCTCACTTGGCAAGCCCGTTAGATGGGTGGTGGGGGGGAGGGCGAGGGCTGCAAGCAACGCTTTGTTTACCTCCGTTATCAGTGCTTATCAGCTTACGGGAGGCGCCCATTGGTGGAAATCTGGTGTTGTGTAATACGAGTACTTAGATGATTTTCTGAACAGAATGCTGGGAGCAGGGAGCAGGGAGCGGGGAGCGTGTATGTGTGTGTGTGTGTATGCGAACAGGCAATTAAATATAATTAATATTGTTGTGCTATTTGCATAAATACACATATAAACATAGTGGCTATATGCTTGTAGGCGGACAAACCTCATCGTTATGTAGATAATGGCTTTTAACAACATTACACCTCACATTTAATAATTTAAAGTTTTTCAAACCGTAACAAAATCAACGACAACAACAAAGAGCGCATTATAATGCTGCAAACTAAGTTGCCTTAATGAATAGCAGCAGAACAACAAACAGCACACAACAGCAACAACAACAACAACTTAAGTGGGCGAGGACGGCGGAGTGGGAGTGGGTTAGGCCGTGTGAATGATAGCAAAGGATGATGCAATACACTGAAAGAAATTCCTCATACAGACAATATTTCAAGTTTATAGGATGATAATATCGTATTCAAGTGGAGTTCAAGTGATTTGTGGACTGTCTTCTGTATTTCGTGTAAAGATTTAAAAAACGCAAATATAATGAAAAATGGTGTGGTTGTTTGTGAAAATGTTATTGATTTAGTTTTGCATTCGTTGGAAGAATTTTTATGCTGGATCGGCAACCTTTTCTGTGACGAAACCAAAAACTCGGTAACAGGCGCACATAAATATATATATATATATATGTATAACTTGAGATACTTACTATATTGGATGGGAATAAAAAGTAGTCACACATTCGATGTTTTTTAAGTGAAACTTCTTCTGCTGGATCGGCAACCTTTTCTGTAACGAATCCAATAGCTCGGTAACAGACGCGCATAAATGAACAGCAAGTAGACCAGCTGGCGAAATTGAAATTATGAATGTAATCGAAAATCAGCTGTGATATGAAGATGCGTGCATTAACCTAACGGTATAATCTGAAATGTAAGTAGTCTTGATTTTTAAGAGTCGCAATTATTTGTGGTTTTCGAGTTTTCCAGGAATATTTTTAAAGCGCAATAGAACTGCCTTGTCTGAGACGTTTGAAAGCTGAATCCGCGACCATCTATCTACTTTTAAGCCGGGTTTATAGCTATTTATAGCGGACTTTCTAGCCATTTCTAGCTGGTTTTCTATCTAGTTTTAGTGGGTTTTCTAGACATTTTCTGCCGGATTTGTAGAGCATTTTCCACCCTTCCTCTAGCTACTTATAATTGTTTTTCCAGCCATTTTCTAGCAACTTTTCTAGCTATTGATAGCAGTTGATTAATTCATTTGCTAGCGCTTTTCTAGTCATTCTTTTTAAGCCAAATTGTTATTAAACAACAATCATTGATAAATAATTATAATGGCTCCTCTGATAAATCTAACTCACATTAAATCTTTGCAATACAACCATTAGCTTTCATTTCTCTCGCGTGTCGCCCTTACACACCATTTTTTGTTGTTTTACAAAAAGTCTTTTGCAAGAGACCTGAACTTTCCTTATGAAAGAAGATCTGTCTGTTCGTTTCCATTAACTTTTAGAAAACTTTTGCTGAAAAAATGTTGTATAATTTTAACTTTCTAGGTTTCACTTAAAAGAAATGGAGAACCTTCATCTTTGAAGTGTTGCATTAACAAACAACTTTTGTTAAGACTAGGCATAACTTGAAAAGTCTTTCATGGAGGATTACAATTTAAAGGAATTTCTAGAATAAACTTGAAATTTGTTAAGCAGTTGCTCCCAGTGCAAGGGTGTATCTTTTTTGCTTGGACTTGACTGACCTGAAATCAGTGTTAATTGTTTCTCAAAGTGTAGAGACAGACAACACACATCATACTTTTAATGGTACATGTTGACAACATTTGTTGCTTACAGCTATTTACTGTGTTGTGCAGCCTGACCTACCGCACCGCCCCGCCACCCCGCTCCCGCACCGCCCCGCCACCCCGCTCCCGCAAATTGAACAACTGACGCTGCTGGGTCATGTTGAGTTGGATTTCCAGCCAGCAGGCCAACCAGCCAGCCAGCCAGGCAGCCATCGAGTCGGAGCACTGGTTGGCTGTGTGGCCCGCAACACTTCCGGCATTTAGGCAAACAAAATATGTGCCAACAGTGCAACCCACACACACACCCACACACACATCGTCTCGCATCCCACCAGTGTTGCCAGAGTCGTTGTAGGCAGAAAATGCGACTATGTAGGCTAATGAGTTCCATGCCAAAAGAAAATGTTGTTGTAACAGTTACAGTTTTTGTTTTGCTTTTATTTTACTCTTTATTGGCCAACGAGGACGCCGTCGCATTGTTCTGTCCATAGCCGGCTAGAGCTAAGCAGGCAAGGCTCAGGAAATGATAACATGTTCGTACTGGCTTAGTAGAGCTGCAAGCCGATTTGTAGTAACCCGATATATGCACATAGTTTCTGATTTTTGAATTCTTGTAAACGGAACATCAAACAGAGATTTTCACGTAAACAACATAAATACGAGTACAAACGCGAGTTGGACTTCTATGCTATAATGTTCAGACTATATTCGCCTTTATATTCTGTTATTAACAAGAAAGGAATGCTAAAGTCGAGCAGGCTCAACTCTTAAATACCCTGTATATATATAATCACTAACCTAATGTGACTACCAAATTTTCAAAATTCCAAGAATTACGGGAGTTATAGAAAATCGTTAATAGGGGGGAAGTGGGGGGGTGGATCAGAAAAAATAAACAAACTCGTCCTTTCTCGGGCTCAGGAGAATCTGTATACCAAGTTTGGTTATTCTAGCTCTTATACTTTCGGAGATCCTTGCGTTCATACAGACAGGCGGACAGACGGACATGGCTATATCGATTCGGCTTGTCATGCTGATCAAGAATATATATACTTTGTGGGGACTACCAAGCCTCCTTCTGTGTGTTCCATGTGCACAAAACTAATATACCCTTGTACCCTTTGGGTTCAGGGTATAAAAATAGTATTCTGTTATTTATAAATATTATTGACAGCTAAGAAGAGCATTACTTCCACAACAAACCGAAACCATTGCAAGAAATTAATATTTTTTTAAAATAAACTAATTAATCTAACAGAACTACATTTCTGCATGACCGACCATCTGTCCGTCTGTATGAACGCAAAAATCTGGGACGATATATAGCCTAGAGTCCCCAAAAGCGGCAAGTAGCTCCAGCCAGATGCGTTAAACGTGTTAATACTTACAAAAAAAATTCCAATTAAAATGTGCTTAAATTGAACAAAGTTTAGGCAAACTCTTCAAAGAAATCGGAGCTGAGCATATCTGAACCATCAATTGATTATATTTCAGTCAATTATTTGAGCTAACAGTTGCTGCATGCACGATGTGTGATCCTTTTCGCATGTTGGAAACCCAACTCAATACGTAACTGCCAGTATTCCAGCACAGGACAAAATTGGAGAAGTGTACAGAAGTTAAGTTGTAAAATTACGTTTCTTGAACCAACGCTGACGTCCTAAGCCCTGTTTACATCAGTTCAGATGTGGAATTGACGATTAACATCAGGGTTCGTAAAATGTGCTTACTACCCGCTGCTGCACATAAGAAATTCGGCCGCGGGTATTAGTGAGCCGCTGCCAGCAGAGCCCGTGGGTATCGTGGGTCGCTGCCCAGCAGCAGGTTGTCATACGAGCCGAGCGCTCCCTTTCACTCTGTACCTGCTGTCTACTCCGTTTCAGCTTGACCCAGCTGTTTTGCCTACGATTGCACAGTGGAACCTTATACTACAGCGAACCTCTGCCAGACGGCTCAGACGACACTCTGCTTCAGTCGGCAGCGACCCACGGCGACCCGCAGCAGAATTTCTCGTGTGTCCGAATGAGTTTTGCTCGCATTTTACGAACCCTGATTAACATGGATTCAAAAACTGCCCCAAGATCTTCGATTGCCGATATACGATAGGCATATATCGGGCTTGTTCATAAAGTATTTGTATTGCTTCAATTTTTAAAAAGCTCTGTTTATTATGGAACGTACGCTATGCTCGTATTTTTTTTTTTTTTTTTTTTGTGAGGAGAGTTCGCTCAGATCGTTTCCACCACTAAGGAAAAGCCTATACTATATTTTGTAATTCATTTGATGGCCTTTCTTTGCATGCGATAACCGAAAGCTTAAGTGTATTCCTGAAACCAAGCAGAACATTTCCACTTGTAGTGCCAAACATAAGCAGCTTGGAACAAAAGTGTCACCGTTTTACTTGATCGAAACGAAAACACACAAGGATATGGTGCTGGCAATTATCAGTTTTCAATTGGCAGGACTAGCTCTGCTCCAAGCGCTGGCAACATGTGTTGGCTTACTAGATTGCTCGAGCAGTAAAGTGCATAAAGCGGCCCAAAATCTGATCGATTCCGTTGATAGGAACACGGACAAGCTGCTCAGCATGAAGGAGCTGCAGAAATTTATGGAAAAACTGGAGTGGCTGCAGTTGGAGCCCCAAGTCGATCACTTTTGGAAACTATATGCGAGAAGCGAAGGCGCTTCCCATCTTAGTTGGATGAAGTATCGTAATCGCGCCCACGATATACTCTTGCAGGGTGACCATTTCTTTAGCTTTTCGATCTTGCCACAGTTCTACCATCCGCAAGAGCGACTGCGACGCGAACTTCGGCGTTGGCGAGCAGCCGATTGTGATGAGGACGGAAGATTGAGTCGCGAAGAGTTTAGCGCCTTTATCCAACCCGACGGCTACGTGCATATGCAGGAGCTGGTCTCCATGGAGTTGATGGAGCAGCTGGACTACAATAACGACGGTGTACTAGTGTACGAGGAGTTTGCGCGTCAACGTCCCGTTGTGGTTCGTAACGCTGACGAGCTCCCTTTTCAGGACTCTCATCGCCAGCAACAGATTCACGATGAGTTTCAAGAGAAACACCGAAAGCGCGGCATGAACATAAAGGAACTGTACCTATGGCTGAAGCAACACCATTTCGATAACTACGCCCATGCAGCTCAGCAACTAATCGATACTTTCGACCACAATGCTGATCAAAAGCTCAGTGAACAGGAGATGGTTTCGAATTGTGGACGCTTCCATCAATCTATGCGCCAGAAACTAGGCGAAGATATGCTTCAATTGGCATTAGAATATCTCGACCATTAAGGGTTTTCGATTTATTCGATAAGGGGAGACTTTTTTTCTTAAATAACAAATATGGAATTAAAAATACTAGTTATGTCGATTCGCTCATTGGATATAGGATTAACTCTTGCTCTTGGCACCAAGTCCAGAGCTGTTTGACAAAATTTTCCCTTTTAAGCCCATCTTGCAATAAATTTGGAAAGCAGTTCAAGCGACTCCACCATTACGCTCGATTCGAACTTTAAAAGTACTGTTGAATACTAGTCGAGCAATTGTAGTTAAACACTTGTGTTAAATGCGTTTTATTATTTACAAAATTAACTTATGGACAAATTTTATGCAACAAATTTTATTTTTAACTGTGATTGGTATCCTGTTCCCTCCTGTTTTAGTACTGGCGCGACAATTCGATAGTTATTCTTAAGTGATAGTCGATAACAACTTCAAAAAACAGAGCATCTTTGACAAATAATCGGCGTGTATTTGCAAATTCAAATTAATACAATAATTTCAAATTATTACCAAAATTATGGCTACAGGATATTAAAGAGACACGACTCTACACGTTTTTTTAATAATGTACTTTACTTAGATAATTATTTTACGATCCTACTATATTTTAAGCAGGATCAGGTTAAAAAAAAAAACTTATAATTAATTAGTCAAGTAAAAGTATAAATCCCTTTAAGCGATATCTTCTAGTTGTACAAGCTGTGCAAATAAATACAAGTAGGTATATGTACTAGGTATACTTTTTTGTGCGCTGTCTTAGCCTCCTTCAAAGAATCGTCGCAATCGAGACACGCGCAGGCTCAATAGTTCGAGGCCAAAGATGATCAACGCCATTAATAGCATCAGCAGACATACCAGGTAGAGTCCGCTGTGCATTTGCAGCCGGATGCGTTCGATCTGTAGAGGCCTTGCTGCCTGCAGATATCGGAACTTGCTGAGCTCGTATTTACGATTGATGTAGCCCACGATTCCGGCACTCATCAGCTGACGCAGCTTCCGATCGAACCCAAACTTGAGTATGGAATGGCGACGCAAATACATGACCAGATGATACGTATAGATGGGCTCCTCTACGCTAATCAGCGTGCTAGTCTCCCACTTGTGCTGATTGTAATGGATAAGGTTTCCCAAGAGCGCCGTCGTGGTCAGCTTAGGGCGTGGATCATTCTCCATTTGCTCAAATCGGGCTGCATAGCTGCTCTGAATGATCTCCGTACGCTGCTTTGGATAGAAATCCAGGTAGTCTGCAGCTAGCAGTGTGTAGTTCTGATCCAAAAGTTCGCTTATGTTGCGCGGTATACCGGAGTATTGGGGCAAGCAGAAGACACCGAACAACTTCCCCTGATACAGGGTGCGCAGAACTAACGCCAGCAGCATCCAGGACATGAACAGCGGACGGACATGGGTGTCTGAAAACAATGCCCCAAACACCAGTGGATTACCCAGCAGCGTGCCGAGCACATTGAGCGTCCCACCGCCGATCTCCAGGCGCCGCCAGTGGAGCCATTGTAAAATCAAAACTAGGACACAGCTGCCCAGGATGCAGAGCCAGACTCCACGACAAAATGGAGCAGCCAGATGGCTAATGGGTCCGAAAGTGCGCCGCATGCGCACCACAAAGACCAGGGCGCTCTGATGATACGCAGACGTCGTCGAGAACTGATGGCGTCGCAGATGAGAGCCGCTCAGTGCCCCAATGGCGATCGATGCACGTCCAGATTGGAGGGCGGCGTAACATCCCGTCACAGTCCCATTGGCTGTAATGTAACTCTTTCCGCATGGCGGCAACAGTTGAATGCGAAAGTTGAAAATATCAGCCAGCACCCTCAGCAGCTCTCCATCGATGCCATTTAGACGTTCCACCTCCGCACGATGGCTCCGGTTGTGGCCATCGCCGCGAAATGTGACGAAAGGCGGCAACAGATACCAACTAACATTTAAGGGGCAGCCGTAGAAGCCCTCGAAATTGTTCACGAACAGGCGATCATGTTGAAGGCGACCATTTGCGAAGCGATTCACTTGCTTCGGCGTAATCAGATGGCTGCAGTTGGAGCTGAACAGATCGTAGCTGTAGAAGAGTACTACTGGGATGTCAGGAAGCTCCACGAGCAGCACCACATGTAGGACATGGAAGTACATGCAGCTGAAGAAGATTTTCTCGATATCCGACTCCGTTGCCGTCCTGCTAGTCAGCACAATGACGAAGTAGAACTCGCGATCGAAGAGCGTCTCCGGGAGAGTGAATTCCAGTGCCCGAAAGGCCGCCAATGAGTTCACCACGAACATATAGAAATAGCTAATCGGCTTCTCATCAATCACGCCCCGATATAGTTGTATGGCCACGTCCTGCTTGTGACTCAACAGCAACTGGGACAACAACTGTTCCTGTCGGTCCCGCTGCCAGGAGGTGCAATTGTCACACATCCCGGCAATCAGGAGTGTTCTTTGGAAAGGCCCAATATAGCGATCGATGATATGCAAAGCAGCCGCTGCCAGCGGCGTTGATTGCCAGGGGCTGGGAGCCTCCAAAGCACCTCCTGCCACCTCCACCAGTAGAGCCATCAGAATTATGCGAAGCATTTGCGTACGCGCTCCCAGGTATGCCGATGCGCCTATGTCATCTAACACCTTGGAGTCTACTCGGGGCACTTGGCCGCAGCTTTTAATCAAGTCCTGCGACTAGCGGGCCAATTCCAATTCCGTTCATTGGCAATCGCGATGGCCACGATAATTCACTAATTTTATTAATGCACCGTTTGCTTAGCGTTCTGCAACGAAGCTGCCACTCCTAATTAGTTTAATTTGCCAATACTCATGGGTGGGGTGTACTCCAATCAATTAATTTCTATTAACATTCCTATCGACCATCTAAGCCCAGTCAAGTCCACTTAAGCACATTGCATAGTTTGATGACAAAATCTCCATTATAGTGCCACAATGGCTTGCCTTTTTAGCGCTTTTCAAAACAAATTCACACTTCTGGAGTGTGAAATGTTTCTACAAGTAGCTAGTTTCTGCTTCTTTAAACAACACAATTTATGGGCGAGTGCAATTTTTAGAATTATATCTAATTTTCTATAATTATAATAGGTCTGTCTATTTTGTTCAGTTTCCAAACTAGCTACCATTTCACATTTTCAAACAAGAAACTTAATGAATGAAGGAAATAAAATGATAATTCGATAAGAAATAAAGAAATAAATAAATAATAAAGCACAGCTCTGCAATGTATAGCGAGTGCAATTTTTAAAATTAGCTCTAATTTTCTATAATTATAATAGGTCTGTCTATTTTGTTCAGTTTCCAAACTAGCTACCATTTCACATTTTCAAACAAGAAAATTAATGAATGAAGGAAATGAAATGATAATTCGATAAGAAATAAAGAAATAAATAAAGAATAAAGCACAGCTCTGCAATGTATTGCGAGTGCAATTTTTAGAATTATCTTTAATTTTCTATAATTATAATAGGTCTGTCTATTTCGCTATGAATTTTTTGTTCAGTTTCCAATCTAGCTAAGCGCACTATTTCACATTTTCAAACAAGAAACTTAATGAATGAAGGAAATGAAATGATAATTCGATAAGAAATAAAGAAATAAATAAAGAATGAAGCACAGCTCTGCAATGTATAGCGAGTGCAATTTTTAGAATTATCTTTAATTTTCTATAATTATAATAGGTCTGTCTATTTCGCTATGAATTTTTTGTTCAGTTTCCAATCTAGCTAAGCGCACCATTTCACATTTTCAAGCAAGAAAATTAATGAATGAAGGAAATGAAATGATAATTCGATAAGAAATAAATAAAGAATGAAGCACAGCGCTACAAAAAATCCTGCTTTTGAAAATTGTTCACAACCAGTAATAGAAAACGGAATGCCTCGAAGAAATTCCAAATTCTAATATACAAATTCTAATATACACCTAATTCTGTTTTTGCACGGTAGATTGGTTCGAGAAAAAGTCGTGTAAAAAAAACCGTTTCAAAAAAAAGACATTGATCATATGTTATTATTAAATCGTTCTAAATAATAATAATAATAATGTAACCATATATCAAATTTTTAATTTGCAAGCCGTCTTAAATCAAAACCGTGTAAAAAAGACCGTGTACAAAGAGAATTAGGTGTACTTATTCATATAAACCTTCTTCTACACAAACGCTACATAGAACCACAATACAACAACAACAAGTGAGTGTTTAAACAAAAATCAACTCTCGAACTTGCCACTAATATTAGTATAAATACACATAATACGAGTAATATATGTAATCATCATAGGGGCACTATATTTTCTCATTGTTTGACCGAATTTATTTCCAAAATGTTGTGCTCCGCTGTCGCAGTTTATCTTTCCATTGGATTAAGATTTAGTGCAGCAGATAGCCACGAAATGTTATCTGAATAAATATTCCTTTTTCATAGAAATTTAGTTACCAAACCAAGCCATAGTATTAATCCCCGATGGTCGTCTATGCAGTCTAGTATCTGATGTGCTTTTTTCCTTTTTGCTTTACTTATCTTTGGGCATAGTTGTCAGAGCTGCGTTTGTACGAACTATAAACATACATACATTCATACTTGTACATACATACATACTAGGTACATATATACAGACAATATCTGTGGGATGCGCTCTCCATCGGAAGCCAAAGAACAAATGCAAACGCCAAAGCCACGGAGCGCATAAAAATTAAAAATTTCATTAAATTCACAAAAGTGCTTGAAGTGGAAAAATGTAATATCCTTTGGGCACAAAGGATGTGCATATAAATGCAAATGCGCTTCAATGAGAGTACGCTGGCCAAACGAAAAGTCCGTCTATATGCCTGGCCATATCTACATACATACATACATATGTACAAGCGTATGTTTATGTGTGTTTGTCAGTTTGTCTGGCGGCCCTAGCAGCGCCGTTTTTTGCATGAATGCATTTTTCTTCATGTGTGTGCATGCTGTGTGTGTGTGTGAGTGTGTGTGCTCCCAGCCACAACAGCTGTAATTAATGCACGCGTTTGATAAGCTTCAGCAGCAGCAGCAACAACAAAAAGAACAGTGCACAGAACGCTCAAAACATAAAACCAAAACCAACACCCAAAATAAAAATTTAAAAAAAATGAAAAGTGTTTTGGCCGCCAGCGCTTTCAAGTCGATTCGCGTTTCACTTTTTAGTGCTCCCGCATTCAATCTCCAGCATCCCATCGCCATAACACACCCCTTCCCCTTGCCACTCACAGTATATCTATACATACATACATACATATGTATATGTATAGTACATATGTATATGACGATGCATATTTTGAGGCGCATTGTAAAAACTTCGCGAGCCTTTTTTCTAGTAAGTTTTCATCGGCGAGGGGCTTGGGGGCACCGACGACAATAATTGCCGCTATGCAACATATGCTCGAAATAGCAGAATCTTTGCTTGCAACGCGCTTCAAAGTTGCAAAATTAAAAGTTTCGCTGCCACCACCGCCGCCACGAAAGTATACAAAAAATAATAATAAAGTAATAAGATGTGCGCGGCAACTTTTAACAACGCTCCTTCAACAAGAAAAAAATACTCGTACAAATAAAAATAATAAAAAAAACGCAATGCGAGCAGTCAGTGCCAAATATAAATCTGACTCCGTAGTCGTTCTTGTGTATAAGTACTTGTGTGTGGGCTTCTAAAGAAGAACATGCCCCGTAATTATAACGCTTGTTAGACGCTCCCAAAAATGCTCAAAAATTGTTGCGCCTTGTTCGAGTGCAGCGAAGCAGAAGTCAAGCGCAAACTCACGCAACCTCTCAAGCACTTCACACTAGAGCTGAGCGTGAATGCGTGCGTGAGCGTGAAGTTCTAATGACGACACGAACAAAACACGATAACTGGCAGAAACTGCAACTAGAGCTTTGCTTAAATGCATGCGAGAAAATATTTATAAGCCGATCAGAGAACGTTTATTAGAAAAAGCAATTAAGACATTATTATTAAAAATTAACAATATAATAATAATTATTTTTGCCAAGTCCACAACAACGTTATATCCATTAAAAATAAAAAGAATATTACGTATATTATGGCTGTGGCTCTCTTGCTTCGCCAAAAACAACAAACAAGCGAGATCAAATTAATTGAGTGCGAATGCTGGAGAGCAACAAAACTGAACTATGCGGGTGGGAGGTGCTTAAGGCCCTAGCACTGCACCTGCATTTGCAGATCAGCCTCTGGAATGAGAGCAGAGCGCTGCTAAATACCAATGTTAATTGGAGCAAGAGAGCGCTGCAGGCGCAGCTTAATTACATTATGTTATTTAACAGCGATTTTATTTTGTATTTATGTTACAAATTAATTACAAACATTAATTCGATTGGGATGACTTCGCTGTGTGCCGCGCTTTATAATTATTATTAATTATGATATAATTAATTAATTATAATAAATAAAAAACCACTATACCAATATCAAATTTATTATTACCATTTGCACAAATTTCTCCTTAACCTAAATTCTAAGAAAAAACAACTTGAAGCCCATTACTTGTTGAATTAAATTTTTTCTTAAAGAAGCACAAATAAAATTGACTTTAAAAGGAAATTATAAAATATTTTCACGTGTACTAAGCTTAATTTACTCAACAAATATAAATAATTTGAAGAGAAAATTTTAAATTTCATTATTTTGGAGCTTTAATGATAAGTCTGACACGCAAGTTTAAGTTGTTTAAGATTGTGACCGAATTTTTCACGTATATCTACGTGAAATGGACACATACATACATATTTGTGACATTTTGTAGTATTTATAGAGCTCATCATGCAGTGCTGCCATAATTTTTTGAGCAAAAACAGCTAGATTGCCAAAACAAAAATAAAGCTAAAGAAAGCTAAATCCAAGGCAAAATAAGCATTAAAACAAGCCGGCTTTAAAAACACAATTTTCTCGGTTAAATTTAAGGAAATATCTGTTTCACTGTTTTCATATTAAATCTATATTCTTAATTCATAATTTATAATAATAATATGAGATTCGTGTAAAAATAATAATAGAAAATTTACATTAACATTTACATCCCGCAACCCGCTATTTTCGAATTTTTCCCGCACTTGCATTTTAAAATAAGCCGGATCTAGCGGGAAAAAAAACTAAAATGGCAGTAGTTTTAAAACCAACTGTTTGAACCGTTTGTACAATATTTTAATTCCAAGCATTTGATCGTAGCTGTCAGATTGTATCGCTAATTATTTTGGACGTATTTATTTTGGCAGTAAATTAAAAAAGTAAATCAATAATTGCAGATCTACAAACTGAGAAGCTTATAGGGGATTTGCAGCAAGTGTGTGAGCAAACCAAGATAGAATTGTCTCAACTTTTTAATAGTTTGCGATTGTGATTAGAGCAAAGTTTTAAGAAATTATGACACAATAAAGTTTCAAACACATGCATGCGTGTTACGTAGGAAGATGTCCAAAACAAAATATGCACAAACGTGTCGCAATCTTAACTATCATATCAGCTTTAAACTGAAACCGACATCAAATACGCAATAAACCGAAACTGAGCCAACAAAG